TTTGGTCCCAATCCCGGTCCCGCAGGGCTGGGACTACTTTGCAGTTCCCTGTCCGCTACAGATTGCGTTGAAAAGGACGCACTTTATCTTCAAAGCAAATAATCTATCATGTTTTCACTGTATGTCTACTTCAATCAAAATTTGCACAGGAAAATCTAGCTTACTTTGGTATTTTTCACTGTTTGACACTTTTCACAGATTAAACCACTCAAAAACCCAAAATAATCAACTAAACTAGATTTTCTTATGTAAATATCTATTGAAACGAACACAATCTCAAAAAAGTTATAGGTTGCTCGTTTCGAACATAAATTTCATCGCTTTCAACATTACTCTCTGATTGAGACGAATTGAGTCTTTAATACATATTTGTTTTATTTTACTTATGCAATAATTGACTAAAAAATTTTTTGAGAGATGTTTTTCTGTTCTTTCCAGACATGTTAACCGCGCATGATATGCTACAGTGCTTTTCTTATGGAAAAAAAATTAGATCCCCCTTTCCTCCTCTATTTTCATGTCACAATCTCTAAAAGTTTTCAATAAAAATCCTTCCTATTCCTCCTTTTTTTGCAAATTAATGTTCACATACATGTATGTGTCATGTAAACCCCTAATAAGTTATGAATGGTCAAGAAAGCGTTCGAGTCCTTAGCTTATTGTTAGCAGCATATAGCATTTTTAGGGTGTTTTTATCTCTCAAGAAAACTAAAAAGAACAGATATTCAAAATTCAACTTGAAATTTTACATTGACATAGACCTAAAACAAAAGAATTTATTGTAAAAGTTTCGGATCTTTTTGTGATTTTTATTCTAATCTATAACTTTGTTAATTGAAAATAGGCGAAAATCAAAAGATCTAAAATTTTCACGATAAACTATTCTGTTTCAATTTTATATCTATACGAAATTTCAACTTGAAAATCAATTTTACTAGTGTTCCTAATGGTATACAATGGCTTTGATTTTCAATAAACTAAGAACATGAAAGTCTAAATCATAATATTCATGACTTATTAGAATTTATATGATGCACACTGTCTCAACTTGAAAATGATTAATCGATTGAAAGACTTTTCTTGTAATTTAATTAACCTTTTCTATAATAACATTTTTTATTCATTGAATAAAAATTTGTATTCAATACTTGTTAACACATAGAAATAAACATAATGATCTTATTTAAAAAAGAAAAAAAAATCTTCACTTAATTCAATTCCAAATAAATCTTCTTATGAAGATTTTGAATTTCTTCTTAATTTATTTGGACATCATCTTTTTCTATTGTAGGTTAAAAATGATAAAAGAAAAAAACTAATCTTTCTAATTATTATATTTAAAAATAATCTGTCTTGTTTATTAAATTCTTCAATTTTATTATCACATAATATTATTTCTTTTTTATATAAACTTTTAAATTGTTCTTTAACTTGTATATCAATTTTAATCTCTTCATATAATTCTGTTTATTGTTTAATCGATCTATCTTAATGTTGTTGAAAAATATTTTAAAATAAAAATATAATTCTTTCAGTTTTTACTTTGTTCTTTCATACTTTAATATGATATCTTTCATATTCAACTTTATTATAAGTATTTTTTAATTTAGCAAATTTATTTATAAATAAACCCCCTCCCAGAATAAAAGGCCATGCCCTTATACAGTGTCTCGGCACATCATTACTTTTTCCATGGCCTTCTAATTAGGATGACCTTCTAATACGTCTGAAATTTAGAATGTCCTATGTTTCAATAAGTTTCATTTTTATTTATTTTTTTTTTCACACTAAGGAAATTTCTTTTCATTCTAGAGACTAATTTTTTTTCCACATATCGAGTAGAGTCTTTTGTTTTGCATTCTTGTCAAGATTTCGATTGTGCTGTTCTGTGGCTTTACGAGCTTCTTCTTCAATACGTTGATCATCAGCTATATTTGGATCTTTGTTTGTCGAATAGTCGACATTGGTCGGGTCAAAACAATAGCCTGGTATGCTTGGAGGTCGTACCAAACTGTTATCATTCCACACGTATCCTAGTTCAAGAAATGATGCCATTGGATCAATACTGTTCAGTGTACGAGACCAAGCTGATGAAACGAGTCGAGTGCACAATATTCGCGATTGTGCTGCAGTTAGTTTGATTTTCGATCGACCACCGTTTTTTTCAATCCATTCTTCGGCACATTCGTAGTGATGGTGTTTGAATGTAGAAAATACATGAACGTCTAATGATTGGATGTACATAGTACAACCTTTCGGAATTACAGCAATAACGACTCGTTGTTTGCGCATGAGACGAATTGTTTCTTCATTTAAATGAGTAGACGATGAATCCATAATAAATAACTTTGGTTGTCCATCGTTCACTTTTGAGTACCACCAGCTAATATACTTGTCCATTGTTCTGAAAGTATAAAAGAGGGCAGCATATTTTTGATAAGGAAGAGAAGTGTCTTGTGTGAATAGCTTACGATCGGTTATTGAATGCTTTTGATGTGAAGAATACTTTGACATTAGATGCATATTGCATCTTCTCGTTGTCGCTCACTTGACCTTTTCCTTTGAACAAGACCACTGGGCCCACACGAGAGTTATCTTCAGCAAATACTGTTAGTATGACAGTACAAAATCGTTTGTCTGATATGTGACCTTCAATTTCATTTACTGTATTCACATCATTGATTGATAATTTTGTTTGGTCACCGAATAAACTAAGAGGACTTTCGTCCATGTTTACCACGTCACGAGATAAGAAGGCGCCCATAACACCACGTTTTGGACCCCATGTATTAGCACGCCTGATATATGTATGAAATGAATTGATAAGTAGATGAGCCTCATTGAGTGGCACCTTCTGTTGTTTTTTTGGTTTTTGCAGGGAGAGACGATGGCGGCGCATGAATCGACCATACCACTTCGTCGATGGTGGATGCTCATGCTTGAGTTCGATACAAAGTTGTTTGCCACGTCGTTGTAACTGTTTGAATGTTACTTTTTCTCGTTTAACGACGATCGATGTTGTCATGACAGATACATTTGACTGAATGGCAGGAGCAGTACGACGTTTCCGGAACCATTCAAGAAGCAATTTGTCGAGTTCAGGATACTGTAGCTTGTGTCCAGCACCAGGAAGACGTTTTCGTTTGCGTCCTATAATCAGTCAAAGCAAGAAAGAATCAGAGATGTAAGAGAGATCGATGTCATAATCTGTAGAAGAACAAAACTCACCATGATTTTGCTTTGATAGTTGAATAAGATCTTCTTTTTGTTTCATCCATTGAGATAATTGATATCTTGAGCAACCTTCCTTTTTTGACGTGAGTAGCTTATTACCACCAGCTTTTCCCAGCATATCAACGGCATGTAGCTTCTCTGCAGTTGACCATTGTCGACGTTTACGCTTGCATGATGGGCGCTCTTCCACCGAGTTAGATATAGCTGATGACGAAGCAAGCAAGGACGATTGATCAGTTGATACAATATCTGCATTCAGATCATTTAGGTCTTCATCGAGTTCAGTATCATTTGAGTTCAAGACTAAATTCAACTGTGGAACATCAGTTGTCCCTTCGTTGTCGTTATCTTCCTCATCATCATCGAGATTAAAATGATTCTTGATCGAAATGGCAATATTGTCTGTTTCATCAACGATCGATATCACTTCGAGATCAGATTCATCCGAACTTGTGTCATTATTATCATCCGATTCAGTTTGTGGTAATGTATACAAATGACACTCAATGTTCATGATAAAAAAAAACTTAGAAGTATCACAGAAAAGAAATACCAAACAAGACGAGTTAGATAAAGTGTAATTTGATAAGTTGTAAAAAATGGCTCTCTTTATTAGGAAGAACATGAATATTTATACAACGAGTGAATAAATGATAAGATAAATGAGCAACAATGAACAACAAAGAGAGTAAGCTATTCATCTTTCCTCTTACAATGACAATATAAGTCAAAAAAGAGTAGGTCAAGAAAAGGATGACTATAGATAACATATGGATAACAGCTGACGAGAAAAGAAAAAGAACATATATACAAACAAGATGGAAGAAAGAAAGGGAATGATGACTATATCGACGAATGTATGGTCAAGGACAATATGTAACAAGACGACGTTTACTCTTTCGACTTTTTACTATTTTGTCTATCTTTCTCATTTATTCATGTAGACAAGCGGCCTCCGCCATATTACAACGCACACTAGGACGTCGTGAAGATGATCCACGTTATCTTCTTCTTCGTTTAGATGTGATATGTGGCGATCCTATCCGAATCTCAGAAATTGTAGACCTATTAGAAGGCCATGGCCTTCTAATAGGGCGTTTGAACTTTTGTCCGAACATGGCCTTATACGGAGGGTGGCCTTCTAATATAGGGTGGCCGTCTATTTTGGGGGGGGGGGCTTTAGAAGGATTGATAATTAGGACTATATATAATAATTATGTTTATTATTTATTCTTGAGTATTTGAGGCGAAACGATAAAAAATAAAAATAATGATGAGTTATTAGTTATTATAGATAAATAGGTCTTGTATTGTTATAAATGATCATATTCTTTCTTCATTTTTTTTCTTGCAAAATACACAATAAGTAGAAAAACATTGCAGATGACAATTAGCTACTAATTAAAGCTATGTACTTTTTTTTTGAGTATCTTAGATATGTTACACTGATGAACAACAATCATTTTTGTTTCATTATACAATGCATAAGAAAAAAATCGAATTAAAGAAATTTTCATACATATTTCTAAGAATAGTTTTTTATTTCTGTTCTTGATGGTAATCATCAAAGAAAAGTACAAACGAGAAAAAAAAAGAACTGTATTTGAACGAATATAATAACAAATTCATATTCTCCAGTACACATACATACAATTTGTGTCACCAAAAAAAGAAAGAAAATAAACTAAAACTGATAATGACAATAACCAAGACAAGAAAAAAGAAGTTAACTAACATATTTCATTTGAACAAATAGGACCAAATAATTAACGATTTTCGACTAAAAAAAGAAAATCAATGGAATAGAAATTAAAAAAAAGAAATCTTCATTACTGTATGTAGAAACATCGATTTCATCGGGTATTTCAGTAATTTGTACTTCGAAACAGTTTTGAACTTCATTAAGAATGGCTGCATCATTTTCATCTGCAACAAATGTTACTGCTAAACCTTTTGCACCAAATCGACCGACACAAGCAACCTAGAATAAAACATATTTACATAATTCAAATAAAAATTTCTGCTGTTGAACATACTCGATGAAGATATGTATCAGTATCTTCAGGCATATCATAACTCAATACAATATTAACACGTTCAATATCCATCCCACGTCCAAATAAATTTGTAGCAACAAGAATAAGTGTTTGAGATTCTTTATAACGTACCAAACTAAATAAATAGAATTATTCACTTAAGTGATAGAACGAACAAATTCATCGTCGTCCAGCGAAGAGGACATATTCGCGATATAGTTATAAACTATCATCATCTGATTTGACGAAAATAAGACCTAATAGAATGATAGAAAGAAAATCAGTGAATAATAGTCAGAACGAATCAGTTATCTATGCTATCTACGTATATACGTTGTAATCATCAGAAAGACGTTGTTCTATCTTTCATGTACTTTGATGAAAATTAATTTTATTTTTAGATGAATCACAA